ATGTTCTGTTGTGGCCTTCCCAATCTAAACACATTAATTGTGCTCCCAGTAGCTTGTTGGGGTGCACTAAAGGAAATGGGACTGCTTGGCCTTGGCCTTCTGGGGAAGACCAGAGCAGTTCCCTACTCCTTCCACAAGATGCAGGCCCTGCAGCTCCTCCAAGGTAACTGAGCAAGAGGTTACGTGGTAACCTTTAAGTCCCTTAAATGAATGGTGTTGTATCAAAAATAGAATAGAGTCATAGAATCATGTAGGTTGGAAAAGACCCCTGGGGTCATGGAGTCCAACCATTGACCCTACTCTACAAAGCTCATCTCTAACTCATCTCCCCCAACCCCACATCTAAACGACCTTTAAACACCTCCAGGGGTGGGGACTCAATCACCTCCCTGGGCAGCCTGTTCCAACGGCTGACTACTCTTTCTGCAAAAAAATTGTTTCCTTATGTCCAGTCTAACCCTCCCCTGTTGCAGTTTGCAGCCATTCCCTCTTGTTCTATCGCTAATTACCCGTGAGCAGAGACCAGCCCCAACCTCTCCACACCGTCCTTCCAGGCAGTTGCAGAGCGATGAGGTCTCCCCTCAGCCTCCTCTTCTTCAAACTCAACAGCCCCAGCTCCTGCAGTCGCTCTTCACAAGATTTACTCTCCAGGCCCTTCCCCAGCTCCGTCGCCCTCCTCTGCACTCGCTTCAGCCCCTCGAGATCTCCCTTGGATTGAGGTGCCCAGAACTGGACACAGCACTCAAGGTGTGGCCTCATCAGTGCCGTGTACAGGGGGACAATCCCCTCCCTGCTCCTGCTGGTTAAATAATAAATACAGCCTTGGAGTCTGTCTGTACTTAACTCTGCCTTGCTCAATTGAGTGATTGCCTTGTTGGCTGAGGACACCAACAAAAGCAGGCAGCAAATCAGCCCTGTTCTTGCTCAACACTCGCTGGAACAAGGCATCTGCACACTGAGGAAAAGCAGAACTACATCAGGGAACAGAGCACCATCAGATTCAGGCCTCCTGCTCCTGCTTAGCTGGGAGCAGGGTGCCCCCTCCCGGGGCTCCAAAGCCTCTCCAGGGCTCCTCACCACGGCACACACCAGTGCGCGAAGGACAATGCACAGCAGCACTCACCACAACAGCAAGGCTGAACTCCCGGGCCAGCGTCTTCAGCTCCCTGGCTAGCTGCATCATGATGGCCAAACCTGGAGGAGGACAATGCATGTGGTGTTTGGGATAAACCCCCAATGTGTATCTTGGAGACAGGTGACATGATGGACAGATCAATTTCCAAGTTGTCCCACCTTCTCCTTTTCCATCTTAGAAGCCCCAAGGCCAAAAAACCCTAAAAAAGCACCAGGAGCTCCAGACAAAGCTGGGAGGTTGTTTTAACACATACAGGACCCAGTTCTCAAGGTCACTGCTTCATTTCCTACCCCCATGGCTGCGAGGGGCCCTCCTGTGGCAGCACTAGCTGCCACCCAGATGTGCAAGACCCTCTGGAAGGCATTAGAGGGGCCACCTCAGTCAGCAGAAAGCCCCTCAGTCCTGATTCAGGTCCTTTCTGGCAAAAAGAACTCCAGGAGAGCTTTGAAAATTGTGCCAGCAACCACAATGTATCTGTGAGACTGTAAGCAAAGGTTTTCATCTCTGGGCAAGCAGTTCAGCACCTTGTCTGCTCCCTGGCTGGGTTTCAGACCACCAGCATGAGCTTGCACAGCCACAGCCAGCTGGAATGCTTGCCAAGACACTGCAGACAGACTGCCCTTTTATCCAGTCGCAAAGAAAAAGCTGGAACCAGTTGCACCCACGTCCACCCTGCTCCAGCTCCAGGTACAACATGCGTGGGAGGAAGATGCCCTTCAGGAAGAGCAAAGAGCTCTGCAGCCTGGCTGCACATCCTAACAGAGCAGCTCACCCTCCGACTGCTTGCCGCCCAGCAGTGGGTAAATCACAGCCGACACCGAGTCGATCACCACAACCTTGAGAGGTGCCATGGAGCTCACCACCTGGAAGGAGGAGGCACCACGTGCAATGAGGAGTAATGAATCGAGCTGCACAGAGGCTCACCCCAGGCAGGGTGATCTGGTGTCACTCACCCTCCTGGCAGCTCTGGGGAAAGGAAAGGGGCTGAACCCTCCCTCCTACCTGCTGGGAGAGGCGATCTCGCAGCTCCTGCAAGGCACTCAGCATTTCATAGATGTGGAACACACGGACCACCTGGACCCGCTGCAGAGCCTCCAGCTGCAGCACAAAGTGGTATCACCAACAGCTTTACCCCTTCGAGGACTCTTTATATTCCTCCTGCCCCCAGTTCTCTGCATTTATACCATGACATGGAGCCAGGGACCCTTATTTCTTCCACATTTACCTCCATCCCATGAACACCTGTCCCCACTGAACTTATGGAAGAAGTAACTGAGATTGAGCTGAGGGAGTGAAAGTGTGAGCAACTAAAGCAAGCCCTCCCCTTCTCCCCGGGAGAAAAAAAACAAAGTGCAGTGTCTGTCCCTGAGCACAGCATCCATCCGGCCACAGGAGGAAGAGTCTGGACACAAAAAAGCCCATGGGGACAAACCATCTTTGGGGGTTGTTTGCAGGCAAGAGCCAATGCAGCTTCAATGTGAGTGCAGAGACCAGCTCCAGGGGAACTTGCCTGCTCGTCCTTGTCCTCTGCCCGGGCTTGAAGCATCTGGTAGAGTCGGGAGGCGGTGAATCCCCCCGTGGAATCAAGAAACAGGACGTGCTGCTTGAGGCCAAGAGACACACTAGCCACAATGCCCAGGCAGGGACTGGGTGTCAGCCAGCCCTCCCAGGTCCCTCTGCGTCACAGCATCATCTGTACCCCACCTGGCCTCTCCCCTCTCCTCTGTCTTCCTCACCTGGGTCTTCCCACTGCCCGGTGCTCCCATAAGCTCCGTCACCTCCCCTGTGTACAGTCCCGAGTCCAGCAGCTGGTCCAATCTAGGGGTTGAACACGAGGTGGGGTTATCTACACCCCTTCAGCCAGAACGACATCAGGAAGCAGCAGCCCCTAGAAGCCCCTTCCCAAACGCAGACAAGTGCCTCGGGCTCTGCTTCTTCCCTCCCACCTTCCTTCTCCACATTGCAGGCAACAGCAGATCTGCAGTGTGGGGGCTACAAGAGAACAGCCCCAAGGTGGAGAAAAGCTGTTGGTCCTGGGAGCAAGGTTGGGATAGCCAAGGTTTCTCTGCATTGGCGCCATAACAACCCAGTGAGGAGACAGGGGAACAAAGAAATAAGGGTATAGATTCATCAAGGTTGGAAAAGACCTCTAGAATCATCAAGTCCAACCATCAACCAATCACCATGACCACTAAACCATGTCCTGAAATGCCACGTCTGCATATTTTTCAAACACCTCCAGGGATGGCAGCTCCACCACTTCCCTGGCAACCTGTGCCAGTGCCTCACCACTCTTCCAGCAGACTTTTTTCCTAATATCCAATCTAAACACCCCCGGCACAACTTGAGCCCATTTCCTCTCACCCTACATGCAACAGAGTAATTCAGTTCCATGCCTGACCCAGACAGTCTGTTCCATCATCACTCGGCAGTGCACCCAGACCCAAAACCCCCTTCTCCGGAGCTCCCAAGGGAAAGGCTGAAGGCAACACGTTTTCTGGTCTGAAAGTGAGACACAAACCACTGGCCCAAAGGTGCGCGGGCTCTCGCAAGGACACCAGTCAGTTATTCCCTCAAGGGACACAGAGCAGCTGGCTTCACAGCCACAGGACACTAAAAATAATCATTCCCTGCTCACAAAAGGCAGGGCCAGGCTGCTGGGGATGGTTTGGACACCACTGAGCCTGCTCAGGGCATCACCACACTGAAATTCAAAGTCTGCGCTGGGCAACCAGAGCCCTTTGCAAGCAAGCCCAGCCCCGGGCAGAGCCGCTGGCTGGCCGGGCAATGTACTCACCTCGGGCTCCCAGTGGGCAGGATGGCTGTGGAGCTCTTGAGCTCCTCGTACAGGTCTGCTCCGTTGGCGGGGAAGGCAGAGAACTGGGCCAGCAGCACACGTCTCACTGCAACCAGCGCCTGGTGAGCAGAGAGATGTCTGGAAACGGGACTGAGGAAGTCCAGGGCCAGCAATGTCTGCTGCAGGAGGTGCCCCGAGCCAAGCCCACCCAAACCATGAGCTCAGCAGCTCCGAGCTCCCCGGTTAACACGCCAGGACCTAGGAGACCCCTTTACCTTGTAAGACAGGGAACACTTCTGGGCAACCTCCTCCAGGTCTGATGACACAAAGTCCACCACTGCAAATAACACGAGGGACAAGAAGTTGGAAGCCAAACCCAGACAGACCATGAACACCAACAACACGACCGGCTTCAACAAAACCTGCCTGCACCAACAGGCAAAATGTCTCCACAGACACTTCAAGTGGGCGAGCAGGATGCCCGACAAGATGGAGCACTGGAGTTTTTCCTTTCAGATGGCCCTGCTGCCCACTGCAAAAAAAACCGTTCTCTTGCAGGGAGGGAAGCTGCTAAAAATTCTCCCTGCTTTGCTCCAGAGCTGCCCGGCACCCCTGGATAGTTGAGGCCAGCCCAGAGAGTCCCCGTTGTGCCAGCGCGCCGCAGCGTC